GTCTTGCATTATTTGGCAAGCGGGGGTTGAACTCTTGGACTCAAGTGATTTTCCTGCCCCAGCCACTCTCCTAACCCCAAGCGAAACCACAGGCATTTGCCACCACAAAAGGCATCATCATTTTGACTGGCTTTTTCTTCCCTTGTAAAATGATGTAAAATCATGTTACTGACATGTTTGTTTTCATAGGACTCAAACTATGCACACAGATCTCTACGTCAGCAAACTTAAGACAGCATCTAGAATGTTTTCCTGTATGAAACCCTTGCCCATGTGAGAGCCTACTGCTTTCTTCCTCTATGTGGCTGCCAAGTCCTATGTTTTAAAACATAGATTTTGTTGGTCACATGAAAATGCCCAAAATAGTCAATGCTATAATTAGCCTAGGCTGAATCTCACTTCCAAAAGTCACCACCGGTGTCGTCATCTTTTACTCTTTAATAAACCCTTCCTTTCCTTTTGTCCCAAGACAGGCTTCCTGCTCAAATACCCCTTACAAAGAAAATTTCCCTGGCTCACTGCCAGGGATTTCTCTACTCATTTCCATTTTAAGTAATTTTTCTGTCTCAGTCTTTTCTAGAACAAAGGCAGAAGGCAAAACTTGCTAGTTTATTTTTAAAGAAAACTTCACTTCAAGCTGTTATAAGCTAGCAAGAGGCTTTGTGGAGTCACATGATCCCAGTTCACTGCATCTGCTGATAAGAGCTCACAACTGAGGAAACCCTCCATCTCAGACCAGTTTCCCAAGGACCACAGGAAGCAGCTTCCAACTGTACAGTGTTTGTCAAGGCTTATTCCACAGCAGGCACCCATTTCTACCCACAGGGGCCCCAAGTTCTTCAGCTCTTGCTAGTTCTGTAAAAACAACAGTGCTGCCTTTTTCTTTAGGCAGCTAATAGTAATGAATTCAACAGGAAGTGATGGTGGTGGTGTGTGTGGGTGTGGGTGCGCATGAGGCAGGGTGTCTTGTTGTGGCCTAGTTATTTACAGAAAGGAACATTATTTTTCTAATGTTTAAGTTGTCTCCCCTAAATCAACAAACTAATAACATGAATCGTTTCTGATCTTTCTCAAAGCCATATAAATTTAAGTTGCTCAAAAGTTGAAAGAAGAGGATAAGGGAGATAAATAAGAACAAAGTGTTAATGAAGTATATATAAAAGATGCCATAATGACACACATTACTTGGTATGCTAACTTATAAAAAAATAAAAATAAAGCTAGAAGACCTCAGAGTTATATTAAATCTATACCTCAAATGAATTTTTTTAAAAAATCCTTTTAGGATAGTCCTCTCTTAGAGCTCTTCCCATTCTTGGGAGTTCTGACTTAATAAATCTATATTCAATCTACTTAAAAAAAAAAAAACAATTGTTTTATGTCACAGAACTTAGGTTAGTCAAGGTGTCAATATGGTAGAGTCAGAGTAATCACAGAGACCTAAGCTCCTTCAGGTTAACCAAAAGGTTCTCTTTTACCTGGATGGTAATCCCAGCATGGAGGTATGAGGGGGACAGCCAGGGACACTGAGGTAGGAGGATAGCTGTGAGTTTGAAGCCAGCAAGGCTACATCATGAGTTCTGGGCCTGAGCTACCAGAGCAAGAAAATGTCTCAAACAGATTTTCTCTTAGCACTGGAGAATGGTCACTTTCTTCTTATTTGTCTTTAATCAAAAATCACCCCCCCAATGGATTAAGATCAATATCAGATGTGCTACAAATTGCCAGGACACTGTGACTCCTGTAGAGTCACAAAGCTTGGTGTAAACATGGAACACACTCGAACAGTCAGCTGTCCTTAATGTGCCTGGCATCACAGGCAGCTGTATAAATATTCTTAAGAAGGTTCACCTGGACCCCCAGGCCACACTGAGCCCTCAGGCACAGATCTCTGAATTTAGCTATTCTAACTTCAAAAAAAAAAAAAAGCATTCATGCTGGGTGCAGTAGTGCACACCTTTAATCCCAGCACTGGGGAGGCAGAGGGAGGCAGAGGCAGGCAGATCTCTGTGAGTTTGAGGCCAGCCTGATCTACAGTAAGTTCAAGAACAACCAGAAATACATAGTGAGACCATATCTCAAAAATCAAAAACAAACAAACAAAATAAAAAAAGAAAAATGATTTATTCATTAGATATACTTGGGGAAAGATCCAGCTCATTCATATCCCTATTCTGTATAAAACAAACTTTTTCTTTTTTTGTTGTTGTTGTCTGTTCTTCGAGATAGGGTTTCTCTATGTAGCCCTGGCTGTCCTGGAACTCCTTATGTAGACCAGGCTAGCCTGGAACTCATAGAGATCTGCCTGCTTCTGCCTCCTAAGGACTGGGATTAAAAGGTGTGCCACCACTATCTAGCTAAAACTAACTTTTTTTTCTTTAAAGTTTTTTTGGTTGTTTTTAAGCTAGGAGAATTATGAGTTAAAGGCCAACCTGGCTACACAGAAAAAACCTTATCTTTAAATCTCCTGGTCTCTGCTTTACACAGTGCCGTCCTTGGGCTTCCTACGCTGATCCTAACTAAGTAGGTTAAATACCCTGGATCCTGATCCAAGATTATCTTGGACATGACACCATATGTGTGGTCACCTAAATAACAAACTGGCATAATTCACTGTCACCTTACCTAAGAGATTCTTAATTACTATATGTACAAATGGGCCAAACACTAACTCTGGCAACCAAATGGTTACTAGGTAAACTGCTCATTAGAATCACCCGATTGCATGCCAGGCTAGGCCACAATAATGAAATACTTAGTAAAGGGCAGCCACAGATAAAGTCAAACTGAAAAACCAGCCTTGAAAGCCAATGCTCAGGGCTTCTTGCGCAGGAAGGACAGCATTTCTGTTTCTTGCAGACCCAGAGATGCCTATTTCTCCGCCTGCCTTCATGTCTTGGCCCACTCCAGCCAACTCTGTCCTTGTATGTATCTCACTTTCACTTTTTGAAATAAATGTTCCAGTTGGCAGTGGTGGTACACATCATTAATTCCAGCACTTGGGAGGCAGAGGCAGGGGGATCTCTGAGTTCGAAGCCAGCCTGGTCTACAGAGCGAGTTCCAGGGCAGCCTGAACTACACAGGACACCCTATTGAACACCCTATCTAGTTCAAGGGCTGAAACTCTATCTCAGGTTTAAAAAAAAAAAAAAAAAAAATCTTCCTTCAGATTCTTTAACATTTCTGCACTCCAATTCTGCAAAGGGATCAAGACCTAGGGTTCTGGAACAACAGTGCGGGGCTAGGCCTAAGAAAGAACTGTTCAGTCTTCATCACCCACATCCACACAGATCTGCCTAGAACCTCAGTTCCCATTTTTTCTTCCCCAACACCCACGTTTTTCTGCGAGCAAACAGATTAGGGGCTCTGGTGGCATGGAAACGAGAGTGGAGAAAAAGAGGATGGGGTGCCGATGAGAATGGATGGATAGGAACTTGGGTGTAGGAGGAGGGTTGGCACCAACTTGGCCTTGAAGTCCGGAAGGCATTCTTGAGATTTGCCCTTCTATCCTGAGAACATTAATAGCAAAAAGGGGCTTTCTGCCCATCAGAGACCCAAGGGTGCCCACCTGTAACCACGGCGAGCTTGGCCCACAGCCCGAACACCCACTAGAGGAGCCCCACGCTCAACACGGTGGGAATTGCCTTGCCATCTGTCAGGCGAGGGGCACCATCCCCCAACCCCAGGGGTCCCGCTCAGCTCCAGCAGCGCCCACCCAAACTTGACAGGCTCCAGAGGGCAGCCCGAGGAGTCCTGGCGTCCTGAGCCGTCCCCGCGGCGCGGGTAGCTGTCCCGGATCCTCCCGCCCGCGCGGACGGCGCACGCAGGCTTACCCGGAGCTCGCCCTCCGTGCGGTGCAGTCCCAGGCGCCGCAGCCCCACCGCCAGGTCGTTGACACACAGGCCGCCGTCGCGGTTGACGTCGAGTGTTTGGAAGAGGCTCCACAGGCGCAGCCGGTGGTCCGGGCCGCCACAGACGGCGCCGCCGCACGAGTCCCCTATAGAAGCCGGCGACGAGGCGGGCGACGAGGCGGTGGCGGTGGCGTCCGGCGGCGGGGAGGCCACGCAGCGGCACAACACACTGCTCACCATCGGGCGCGAGGCGGGGGCGCCGGACGCGGGGCTGAAGGCAGCAGGCGGGCTACCGGAGCGCGGAAGCACGCCGGCTTTCCTCAGACTACAAGCGCGGGCTCGGAGCCGCCGGCAGACTGGAGGGAGGGGCCGCTTCCGGGAGCCCCGCCCCGCGGCGCGCGGAGGCGGTGACCGCGCCCCCTGGCGCGCTGCCGGCCAATCACACGCCGGGATGACGGCTCCGGGATCAATGAGGGGGCGGGGCTACCTCGCCGGCCGTGAGTGGATTCAAACTGAGGGCGGCGGTGATTGGCTGGAGCTGGGTTGTAGGCGAGCTGAAGGCCCGGGGTCCAGTTCCCATTCAGAAGTGCTGTTTAGACCGCGGAGATGGGGCTGGGGTGAGCGGTTGTGTACGGAGGGTCCGCAGCTAGCCGTGGAGACGGGATCTGTCTGAAGGCTACTCGGACTACAGTTAGGAGACACATGCACCACTGAATAAAATAAAATTTTAATGGGCTGACGCCTCGAGACCGAAAACACGAATCCAAACCAGGAGGCTAAGTTCTAGCAGACTCCTAAGCTACCAATAAAAAAGCTGAACTCGGCAACGTAACAGTCGCGACATCAACAGCTGAACGACAGACTGACTTCCCAATCGGAGTGAATGAAGGCCATGTGGGCGGACGCCCAAAGGCGACAAGCACGCTTTAGACCAATGACCAGGCCAGTTCCAGCGAGGAGGTGTGTCCTTTGGGAGGAATGGCAGGCCTGACGAGCCAGTGGTCCGTGAAGGGTTTGAGCCACGCCAAACTGGGAGGGCGGGGTCTCCCAGGGCTGGGCCGAGGGGCGGGAAGAAGGGAAGTGGGCGGATCTCCGCACACCCCAGCGGAAGAGGCAGATTCAGGAAGCCATTACGCAGCTGGCTGGCGGCGGTCGTGCCGGTCGGGGCTGGGCTCTACGCACTTTGCGTAGCGAGGGGGTTACTTAAGGCCTGGTCCTTGGCCTTGAGCAAGCCCTGCCTGTCCCCCTGGAGGGGGCGGGGGTGGGGAGAGGCGAGGCTGAAAAAGAAAAGAAGGGAAACTGGGGCTGTTAAGGGCATTATAATTTCTTTAAAAAGAGAGGAAAGAGGAGGCCATGGCTGTCCCAGCCAAGAAGAGGAAGATGAACTTTTCAGAGCGGGAGGTGGAGATCATCGTGGAGGAACTGGAGCTGAAGAAGCACCTGCTGGTGAACCACTTCAATGCTGGGGTCCCTCTGGCTGCCAAGAGTGCGGCCTGGCATGGCATCTTGAGAAGGGTCAACGCTGTGGCCACCTGCCGTAGGGAGCTGCCCGAAGTCAAGAAGAAGTGGTCCGACCTCAAGACCGAGGTCCGACGCAAGGTTGCCCAAGTCCGAGCTGCTGTAGAGGGTGGCGAGGCCTCAGGGCCTACAGAAGAGGATGGAGCTGGTGGACCTGGGACCAGCGGAGGCAGTAGTGGCAATGGCACGGCCATAGCCCCCGTACTGCTGACCCCTATGCAGCAGCGCATCTGCAACTTGCTGGGTGAGGCTACCATCATCAGCCTACCTAGTACCACAGAGATCCATCCTGTGGCCCTCGGACCCACGGCCACTACAGCTGCAGCCACGGTCACCCTGACACAGAGTGAGTGACCTCTCCTGCTCAGTTCAGCTGCATAAATGGGAAGGGCCAGCAAGTGCTGGGGCAGCCCGGGGCAAATTGGCTGTCAAGGGTCAAAAGTCAGATGGTGATCATGGGAACCATGAGGCCTTCCATGAACTCCCCAGACAGAAGTGATCTTGTTTGTTTAGGGAATTCCTCAGCATGTGGATAGCTGGATATCCATGACTTCCACTTGCCGACCTATGTAGTCTTGTAGACAGAGACTGTGCCCTCATAGGACTTAGAACTTGGCTGCCATATTAGTAGGCAGCCAAGGTATACTTGTTGAATGACTATCTAGGAATAATACTGCCCAATGAGACATCCATTCTGCACAAAGACATCCTGTGTTTTCAGTACACAAACATTCACTAGGCACTTCTCAGGATCTTCATGATTCCTATGTATTCATTGTTTCATCAAGCAATTTGTTCTGGGCACCAAAAATACCAAAGTATTTCATGTTCCCTAGAGGCTAGGGAGAAAACTCAGTGGTAAAGTTTCTGCTTAGCACGGCAAAAATGATATATATAGGCCAATTATATTCTACAAGGGCAGATGAAGTATATATGTGAGTAGCTTTACTATGAGATGGGGAAACCCAAGGGTTCAAAAGAGGAAAGGGAATTCCTGGTATGGGGTGAACACACCATTGATTGCATTGATAGGTAGGGGAAGTAGGAGGCGGAGTTATATCCTTGTAACCCCAGCTTTCAAGAGGTGAACCCCTGGGGGCTCAATAGCCAGCCAGCCTCGCCCATTTAGAGAGTCAGAGAGCGGCAAAGGGACTCTGTCAAAAGAAAGGATGTGGACAGCACCAGAGGAATGACATCTGAGGTTGTTCTCTAATCCTCCTTCATGTGTACACCTACGTGTACAAGAACATATGCACACAGTTTTAGAAAAAAGATAAACATCTTGACATCGCCCACCTACATGAAGGCCCAAACACCTAATGTTCCTTCAGAGGTTCTCAACAGTGAGTGATAACAGAACTAACTTTGGTTAGGGTTTGTGTCTGAAATAAGGATGTGTGCCCACAACTCTGCTTTGTCATGATGGGCTTTGAACTGTGTCGACCAGACTCTCAGTGGCCTGTGGGGGTGTGCTCTCCCTGCCTAGGAGCTGGGAAGAGGAGGAAAAGCACTGGTCTAAGTCACTGTTGCGGAACAGCGTCTGCAGGGATGTCTAGGTATCTTAAGGACCACTGTGATTAAGGAGACTGGAAGACACTTTCTGGGCATGTGAGCTGCCACAGCCCCTCCTTCTTGGCTTGGTCACACAAGAAGCGATAAAATTAGCTCAAAGCAGCCCAGAGTAGTTCTCTTTTGTCGTCTCTGAAACCAAAGATGGCAGTGTCCTACCTCTTGTCATTTGGAGGATTCATTGAACTAATGAATACAGAGTGATATTTGCTAGTGTGCGCCTCTGTATTAGTATTGCTATTAGCTATCCTAATGCTGCCATTATTGGCAGCATCTCTGCATTTGTCAGACCTGGGGGCTGCCCTTTGGCCACCAGGAGAGTAAACTCCTGAAATCTCGGTAGTAGAGCATGTGCTTAGCATTATACAAGGCCCTGGGTTCTGTCCCAGCCTTGAGGGACAAAGAGAGCTGAATGTCTCAGATTCTGTGTTTGTGTGTGAATAGAGCTGGGGAGACCTGAATATTCCCCCCTTGCCTCCCTGCTGCACAGGGTTTAATGGCCTCCTTCCCATGTCGAAGAGCCAGCACCATTCCTTCCAAAGGGTTACCTGCTTCTGCTTTTGTTCTCTCTCCTCGGCAGTCCCCACTGAGACCACCTATCACACACTGGAGGAGGGCGTGGTGGAGTACTGCACAGCGGAGGCTCCTCAGCCGCTGCCGACGGAGGCCCCAGTGGAGGTGATAACACAGCATGCAGACACATCCGTCAAACCTCAGGCACTCAAGAGCCGCATCGCCCTCAATTCGGCCAAGCTGATCCAGGAGCAGCGGGTCACCAACCTGCACATAAAGGAGATCGCCCAGCACCTGGAGCAGCAGAATGACCTGCTCCAGATGATCCGCCGTTCCCAGGAGGTGCAGGCCTGTGCCCAGGAGCGGCAGGCCCAGGCCATGGAGGGCACCCAGGCAGCCCTGAGTGTCCTCATACAGGTCCTCCGGCCCATGATTAAAGATTTCCGACGCTACTTGCAGAGTAACACACCCAACCCGGCCCCGGCCCCTGACCCTGGACAGGTGGCCCAGAACGGACAGCCAGACGGCCTCATCCCATGAACGCAGGGGCTAAGCCAGTGTTCTGCCGAGATCCAAGGAAACTTGTGTGGAATTGTAAGTGGTTTCTGTGAGTGGCTTTAAGTGGGCCATGTGGATAGCTCCCTCTTGGATAGATAACTTGGGTTTTATTAGTCCAAGAGAAGTGAAAGAGACTGGGAAAAGGACCGTTCCAGGTCTCTGGAACCCATTCTCTCTTAGTTCACCCTCTGGAGCTGCCTTGCTGAAATCCCGAAGATTTAGCTGGGAATCATGTGTGCCGGTGATGGGCCGTGGGTTGTGGTGATCTAAGGCTTGTGATATCAAACAGACTCAGATTAGGACAACTTTAAAGACAGACTGGTTCTCACTGGGGCCATGTCATAGCACAGGATCTTCAGTGAGCCGCCCCACCTCAGGTGCGCCATCTTTTTGAGTGGCATCCTGCCAGTGGTGCTGGCAGAAATGCAATAACACCCACCCAAGGATGTCTTCCAGTGCCACTGGGAAAGCCCAGCCCTTTCTCCCTCTCACTGTGCCTCCTTTCTCAGGGGACTCTCTCTACTGCTGTACGCCACAACCACCCAGGCACAGCCCAGCTCTTGGAAATGCCCTGAGACTCATGTAGCCAGCCTGGCTCAGAAATGCCGTGTGAGGCGGGAATGGGTTGGCCACTCTGTAGTCTTCCATGACACCTCTGGGTAGCTGTTATGTACTTTGACACAGGTGGGCTTCAGGTGCTGTCAGTGTTAGAAGGCAACCCCCTGTGGAATCCTGTTTCCTGCTGCAGGGTACTTGAGGTGAACCTCTAATTTTTTTTTTGAATTTTTTTTTTTTTAATTTTTTAAGAAAGCTCACTTCTAGCCTGTTGTATTTATTCTATAGCTGAACCCTTTCTGGGAGAGCATCAGGCTCTGTGGTTAGCCTTCTTTCTCCTCTGCTGGATCACACTTCCAAAATACCATGCACATTAGAGTCCTGCTCAGCATCCCACCCCAATACTCATCTTCCCTGCTCTGTTACTCAGTACCCGGTGCCCTGAAGATGCACACACACACACACACACACACACACACACACACACACGATGGCTGAGTGAATCCACAGGAAGATGGTCCTTGAATGTAAGAGGGGGGAAGATAGAAAGTGGGCCCTTTGAATCTTGTGCTCTAGCAGGACTTTTCCACCATCTCTCTGAGGCACTCATCTCTGCCAGGCAGGGTTTATCTGTATCACTTTCAAACTTGAAGTGCTGAGAGGCCTGTCTCCTATATCACCTCCCCATTTGCCATTTCGCTGCCATAACTGGGCCACTCATGAACAGTGGCTACAGCTCCAAGTTCCAGACCTCAGCCAAGCTGCCTTTCCAGGCATGCACACACGGAGATGCTTAGCTCCGCAGTTGTGGTCCCAGGAAGAGGGCCCCTGGAGACAGTTAGGAGACGGCCCCTTCTCCAAGGAAGCATGTGTAATGCCAGCTACAGAGAGGTAGAATGAGACGGGGCGCCAGCAGGATTGCTGCAGGGGCCTCCTAAGGATTTGTGACCCAGTTGGTTCTTCTCTGGGGCTGGAAATCTGAGCCAATGTTGTATCTGTTCCATTTATGCATAAAGAGGAAGCCTAGATTACTTAAGCTAACTTGTTTTTCCCAGGTCACAACTTTAAATTAAAGAACTATCACTTTTCTATATACATTTCTCTGTGTCTTTATTGATCACACATAGAAATGAACTATGGCCCCAGGTTAAATCTGCTCCACCACTTTTTGTTGTTTCGTTTTGTTTGAGACAGGCACTCACTATGTCTGGCTGGCTGGTCTTGTGATGGCTAAAGTTGTATTTTAAGCTTAAATTACTGCACTTAAGAGATCTATAAAACAAAACTACGTCCAACCTGTAACCCCCACTTGCTCAAGGACAGATAACTTCCTGAGATGCTGGGGACTGTTGTTCATGTAAGAGAACAAGCCACTGTTTTCACTTCTGTAAACAAGCTTGGTTGCCCCAACTGCACAGGAGGTGCTTGATCACATGTAGGAGGGAGGTCTGTGGTGGGGATATGTCGGGATATGTGCTTGCCCTAGTTTTGAGAAGGTGAGGAATATGTAGCATTGTCGTTGTGCCTTTATAACCGCCCCCTCCAAAGTAATTCAGCACCAAACTCTGGGAGTCCCAGGTATGGACCACAGGTCAGTGTCCATTGTCCTGGCCAGAATTTACCAAAATTTGCTTCAAATTTGGCTAGTGATAGTGGTCTTATTCTGACCCAGAGGGAGTAATGGCATGGAACTTATTATGTAGACCAGGCTTTAACTCACAGAGCTCTACCAACTATTGTTTCTTGACTACTGAGATTAAAGGCACATGCCATGCATGCCTGGCCTGCCACCTATTTCGTAAATAAAGTTCTACTGGGACGCAGGCATGCACTCATTTAGGAAAGATATACTAAGATAGCAGAATTGAGTAGCTATAACCTTAGACAGCCGGACCACAGAGCCTGAAGGATAGACCTGGATTAGTATGCGGCTTCTGACTTAAAGAGAAAGATCCAGGTCCTACCCGGAACCTAGAATAGACTCCCAAAGAGAAGGTGCTGAGGCCGTATGGTTTGCTATAGACACACCTGCTTATAGAGTGATCCTTATGACTTCCTGGTGGCACTTTGGCAGCCAGACAGGTAGACTCAGACTTGGCTGAAGTTCAGGTCCTGCTCCAGAGAGGGCTGCCTCTCAGGAGTTTCTGCTCAGCAGGTGAGGTGTTCGGCGGTGCTGAGATGCTCATTTGAGTAAGAATGGTCTCGTGGAAGGAGCCGGGGTTTTCCAGGGCTCTCTCTGTTCTCATTTATCACTGTTCAGAGATAAGTGCAAGCTGGCAGTTGTCAGGCCCCACCTCAGAAGCTGTAGTCACTGACTCCTGAGAACAGTTGCAGGAAGTAGGTGCTGATATTGTTCTCACTGTGCAGTTGAGGACACTGAAGGGTCAGAGGTCAAACAGCCTGTGTAAAGCCTCAGATCGACCTAGCTCCCAGGGCAGCCCATGCCTTTAGCTACTTTTTTTTCTAGGTAAGAAGTCTTCCCGTTGAAAAGTATCTTTAGTCCTTTTTGTTGTTTAACCTTTTATTCTGAGTGAACTAAGTCACCCTGGCTGGCCCCAAACTCACTCTGTCACCCAGAAAAACTTTGAACTTAACCTCTTGCTGTTTTGGTCTCCCAAGTAGTTTACAGGACTGCACCACCAGGCCAGGTTAGTTACTGGTTTTAGCTCCTACCTTACCTTGACCTTCGGGCCTATGAGACTTGAAGTCACTTGGAAATGAGTTAAGCTGGCCCTTGGGGAACTTCTAGATCAAGGGAACTCCCTGCCAATGACTGTTAATGATTGTACTTGTATTAAGAGAAAAATGATGTAGGGATGTGGTAGTGGTGGTGGCATACATCTTTAGTCCCAGAATTCTGGAGGCAGAGGCAGGTAGGTCTTTGTGAGTTCAAGACCAGCCTGGTCTACAAAATGCAATGAGAATTTTGGTTTCTTTAAAAACTCGGTTATGTTATGTGACTGTTTTTGTTTTAATCCCAGGTATGGGATATGAAGCTGCTTCAGATTGTCCACAGCACATTTGGAATTCTGGGGACTCTTGAGAGGGTATATAAATGCCAGAGACCCTCAAGAAGCAGTAGCTGCTGCTGCTTTTGCTGGTTGCTGGTTGCTTTTGCTGGGTGCTGGTGGGAGACAGCCTGACTATGAAGATTGGACTTGCCCCAAGGAACTCTACAACCCTTACACAGCAGGAAGTAGTCTGAAGAGATCCATGTCCCCTTTCTCCTCCTGTCTTGTTGCGGGGTTGGAAGAGATTGGTGTGGAGAAGGGTGGTAGGGAAGAGAACCCAATAAAATAGCCAAAAGGTCCTGTTACAACAAAGTAAGTTCCAGGACAGCCAAGACAGAGAAACTCTGCCTCAAAAAAAAAAAAAAAAAAAAAAAGTGTTTGGTAAATTTTCTCACAGCATTGGCCTGGGCGATCTCAGAAGTGTGCAGAGACTATAGAAAGGACTTTAGGTATGGCTCTACCCCTTACTACATCTCACACCTCTGGAGTCTCTGTTTCATTAGTCCTGCAGCTAGGATATGACAGATAACAATATGAGCATGTTCTGAAGAGGGAATGGGAATGAGAGCTACCATTTATGGAGCGAGCGCTCACTACATGAAGACTGCCCCGAGCATGCCTGTGAACTCACTTCTCAAGATCATGTGTGTAAAACACTTAGCATGGGCCTCAGACACAGCATATGCTCAATAAATGCAGCCTCCTAGCTTCACTATTCCAGTGATCTAACCAAAGTGGAAACTGGTGGGCGTGGTCTTAGGAGCGCAATGGGAGTTTATGTGATTTGAGTTAGGTGACAAGGGGTAGGGCCCTAGTACTAAAGAATAGCAGGCCCCGGACAGCAGAGTGAAGGAAGGACTTGAGGCAGGCTGGGGCAGGGGGACTAAGGCCAGTGTAGGAAGCAGCTCTGCACCTAGAGACTCTGGTCCCAGGTGCTTTGGAAGGGAAGGGTGTCCAGTGCCCTGTGCCCTGTGCTTGTGTGCATTCAAGCAGTTCCTTGGGACCACAAGGCGTACAGAACATATAAAGAGAAGTAGAAATGCCAATTCCCTGCCTAAAGCTTCTTCAAACATCTCTGGAGGCTGTTATCCTGCTACTCAGGAGGCAGAAGTAGGAAGTTCAGGAGTTCTAGGCCAGCCTGTGCTTTATAACAAAGCCCTGCCTCAAACAAAACAAAACAATTCTTTGGCTTCTCCTGGATCCAGAGTCTTCAAGACTCCGCCCAAGCTCTGGGTGTGAGGTCCTAGGAGAGGCAGGTCGGAAGGCTAGGAAGCTAAGAATGTAGTTCAACGGTAGAGGTAGCGACGTGCTCAGAATGCCAGAGCGGAGCTCCCAGCATTCAGTTAATGAGCTCCCAGCAGCACATTAACTGACAGCCTCCTAACCTGACACATGATTGTACCATGTACTTGATACATGTGATACATGCTTGGGGAGGTGTAGTCTAGAGGACCCAAAGCTCAACATCCTCAGGTACATACTGACTTCAAGGTCATCTTGTGGTACATGCAACCAGGATTTAAAAAAAAAAAAAAAAGGCTGGGTGGTGGTGGCACACACTTCTAATACCAGCACTTGGGAGGCAGAGGAGGGTGAATCTCTATGCATTTGAGGCCAGTCTGGTATGTAGAGCGAGTTCCAGAACAGCCAGGGATGCTACACAGAGAAACCCTGTCTCAAAAACAAACAACCAAGAAATGGCTTTGATTGGTTAAGCATGCCTAGTAAAGAGGTCCAAGGGTGGAGGCGTCATCCCAACCAGGAACACAAGTTTGCATTAAGCATGTAGACAGTCAGGGAGGCTGGCTGGCTGGCTGGCTATACCAAATCTGGGAATGGCAAGGGCAGGTTTGTCCACCCCAGAAGGCTTGCCTGTCTCAATCTCTGTGATTGCCTGCAGTCTACCTGCATTTATTGCGTGGAGGTTAATGGCCAACAACCAGTCTTAAGTTCAGCCTGCCCTTTACTGAGCCTGTGCCCTGGGAAGGGATCAGCTGGTTTCTCCTTGCCTCCACTTCCTCCTCGAAACACCTTCTCTAACTCCCACAGAACCGATGTGGGAGTTAACAGGTCGCTGCTGGTAGAGCGATTCACAGGACTCCTGGAAGCTGGCGGAAGTTTAACATAGGCTCTCCTGACAGTGGACTCTTGCCGCGTAGTAAACTCCCCCAACACTCGGGGCTTTAAGACCACCGCCATTTCTTCTCTCCAGATTTGTTTTTATATAGATTTACTTGTTTTATGTGTATGAGTGTTTTTGGATGCATGTACGTATTACTGCAATGCTTGGACCTAGTACCCTTGGAGAAGAGAGCATTAGAGCCCCTGAAACTGGAGTTGTGAGCCCCCGTGTGATCTCAGGGTGCCAACCCCAGTCTTCTGCAAGAACAGTAAGTGTTCATACCCATGGAGCCATCTCTCCAGCAACATTAAGATATTTTATTATCTATGTATTTATTTTTATTCAGGGCCTCTCTATCAGCCCTAGCTGGCCTCGAAACCCATGGAGATGTGCTTGCCTCTTTCTCCTGAGTGCTGGAATTAAAGGTGTGGATCACCGTCCCTAGATTTCTTTCTAACACTGGGTTTCTCCAGGCAGTGGGGACAAACACCTTTATTCTCAGCATTTGGGAGGCCGAGGCAGGTGGATTTCTGTGAGTCTGAAGCCAGTGTGGTCTACAGAACAAGTTTCAGGGCAGCCAGGGCTACATAGACAAACCCTATATAGAAAAATCATAAAAAGGACAGGGTCTCAGCTCTGACTGGCTGGAGCTCATTATGTAAATTGTGATGACCTTAAACTCACAGAGATCGCCTGCCTTGCCTCTGGAATGCTGAGATGCTGAAAGGCTGGTACCACCACTGTACCTTGGCCCTTGCTCAGGATTTTGCAAATCAAATGGCCCTACTGATGCTGGGAAATATACTTTAAAGACCTGTCTTGTTTGGAAAACTCTCTGGAAAGATTCCTTGACCCTGGGGAATTTCTAGACATTGCTCCAGGCTTTCAGAGGGCGCAGACCTTGCTGGAAAGAACAGCCTGAGTCAAACCCAATTCTTG